AGGTGCTCAATAGAGGCTGTTGAATAAGTAAAGATGAACAGGTAAAGCAAACTTTAGAGTCGCTCGATATATAGATAAATGGCAATTCTCTGTAACAGTTTCCAAACTTGAAAGTTTTATGTGTTTTTGAGCCTGCTTTGTGATTAACTAATATCCAGTGGAATTGTGGACTTTTCCCATTCACAAGTGGCATTTTTAAAGGTGGTATGGATAGGAAAATTAGGAGGAGGTCCTTAAAATGAAAGACCCAAAGAGGTGCCCCTGACCTCCACCATGAGAACAGGCACTTGGAATTGTTCCATCCAGCTGTGACTCAATGCTGATTTATCTGAGATGCCCTTTTGGTCAGCAGCATGCATTTGAGAGATGGCCAACTGGGCGCCTGGGTTAGAATCACCAAATCTGGCTGGCTCCCAGGGAATCAAGTTCATGAACGTAGCTTGAAGGGTATCATCAGTACTATCATCATTGGGACTACATTCAGGTTCATAATATTTCAGACTCTTGAAATAAGAACTTCTGGATTTTGAGCTTTTTGAGATAGCTTTTATTGGGTTATTAATATGTATGCATGCATCCGACAAATACTAATTGAGCACTAGCTATGTGTCAGAGTGCAAGGCACTAGACTGCATGCAGGGCTTGAAGTAAAGCAGGTGCTCAATCACAATGACGGTTGGATGGATGGTCACACACCTTGAGAGGTTTCTAAAAAGGAAAGCGCTCCCTGCTTGAACTGATCCTTTCTTTAAATTAATCATAGGAAAAACAGTCCTCTTCTGTTTAATACAAGCCATGTTTCCCCTACTTAAATTTATTTTGAAGTGTCACTATGTTTTTTATTTGAATGAATTTTTTTTTTTTTACCAGAAGGCCAGCAATAATGTGGTTCTAGACAATCTTATTTGAAATGTGTATTTCAAAATGAAAGAAGAGAGTGCAAAATCCCTCAGGTCTATTCTCGCTCCTTGTCTTTTAGACTCAAACTCTTTTAAAAATGCCTGTCATGTACATACACATACACACATCTTCTATCATCTGTCTCTAGATATCAACCACAGAGACATACAATCCAGCTTGAACTAAAATCTTTCTCATTCTAAGAGACCACATGCCATGAAGTTTCTTTCTTTTCTTTTTCTTTCTTTCTTTCTTTCTTTCTTTCTTTCTTTCTTTCTTTCTCTTTCTTTCTTTCAAGATATATTTAGTTATTTGAGAGAGAAAGAGTGCGCTGTGGAGAGGGACAGAGGGAGAAGAGAATCTTAAGCTGACTCCCCACTGAGCCCGACGTGGGGCTCGGAGCCTAATGCCAAACTCAATCTCACGACCCCGAGATCATGACGTGAGCTGAAACCAAGGGTCAGATGCTTAACTGACTGAACCACCCAGGCACTCCATTTCTTAAATTATTTTACAAATAACCCAGTTCAGTTTCAAGCATGACTCCCACATGAGAGAAGTGACATGTGACAGCCCCTTTACTCAGAGAAGTGACAGCCTCATTTTGGCTGCCAAACTGATTATGCCACTTATTTATCTAATTAGTTAATTGGGTGAGTCATTATTTGAAGACAATGAATTGAAATAATATTTTTAAAGGAAGATTTAGGGCAGTAAGAAGTAGTGGGGTTTTTGTATGCATAAAAGGCAAGGGAGAAAATACTACCTAGCTTAAGAAAGTCTCTGATGCTATGGAATGTTATCCTCATGGTTCTGGACTCTCCCATACTCTCAGTTTTAACTAGGATATGGCTGGGTGAGAATATGAATAGATATCAAATGAGATTTTACTACTGAAAGAAGAGGGGCTGCATGGAATTTTCCCTTCTTCGTATCATTGGATTGAGCTCTATTAATTTTTTTTAACTTTTAAGCAATTTATCCCATTATGTATATAAAAGTGCAATTAGGTAGTTAAGAGCATGGGCTCTGTGTCACATTTCCTGGTTCATAACTGGGCACCACCATGGGTTTGCTCACATCCTTAGGCAAGTCATTTAATTTCTCAGAGCTTTAGTTTTTTCCTCTGAAAAATCGGGATGATAATGGCTCCGACCTGGAAAGGTTAGAGAATGTTCATAAAATGCTTCAAAAAATGCCTGGCACATAGTAACTTTTCAATAAATGCTACCTACTAATATCTTCCTTGGGCATCATGAGCAAATGGTGGATGTTGTGAGACTTGATGCCGAGGGGCCAGTTATTTCTTGGGGGGACATTTTGGCCTTGGTAATGCTCTCTAAAATGTCCCTGGAATCTTTCCTAAGGTCCCACTATTGGAATCTATACTGCCTTCTGATTCATCACCCCAGAACTTTCTATTCCCCCATTTCTTTTTTTCTTTAGTTTGTTTTTTTCCATTGCTAGTCAGCTGCTTCTTCCTTTGTGAGCTTGGAAAGTGCTTACTCATGACTTATCTACTACTTCAAAGCCATATGTTTAATTTTATCATTCACATCCAACTTATCTATCTGACCTTCACTACTTTATTCAGAATTCGAGTAGTCAGAAGCAATTGCCCTTCATCTCCTCAAATGTTTGCTTGGAAACTCTAAGTCAAAATGTCACCATGGTGTCTTAGGATTTCTCAGACTATTTTGCATAGATGTAGGTAAAATATGCATATACACTTGGTGTACAGCCATAATAATAATAATAATAATAATAAAAATAAAATTATTATGCATTTTCTTCAATTAAGATAAATATAAAAATTTATTTCATTTTTAAATGAGGTATGATATTAGAAATTATTCCATCTTGTCATGGAAACTTCTTCTTTTTTTTTAGAGAGGGGGAGTGGGGAGGGTCAGAGGGAGAGGGAGAGAGAGAATCCCAAGCAGGTTCCACGCCCAGTGTGGAGCCCGATGCCGGGCTCGATCTCATGACCCTGAGATCATGACCTGAGCCAAAATCAAGAGCCAGATACTTGACGGACTAAGCCCCCCTCAGGCACCCCTGTCATGGAAACTTCTAAACCAGATGTTCTCTTTATCCAGTTGAATATCAACTTAAAGACATTCAAGAAAAAACCTCTAAGAATCAAATTTATTTTGATTTTGCATTCACAAAGATCTGCAGCACATTTCTGGTTTGTTTTGTTGTTGTTTCTGTTTGCATCTATTTGGCCTTTTGCATGTCATTCTTTTGACATGATACAGATGGCATTTTCCTTCCTTCCGTTTAAATAGTCAATGGGCACTGCTTGACCTGTAAGTTATGCAGCTGTCTCCCACATACTGATAAATGCCCTGGTCTTGTGAGTCCAGAGCTCACAGCTCTATTAGAAGATATTTTGTTTTTCCCCAGCAAAGCATATGAGAATGAATGAAATGGAATGGAGATGATCTGCCCTTCATACCCAAGGTCAGTGTCCTTTGAGGCTTCCTGGGAAAAATAGTACATTTACAAAGGTCAAATTGCTGAACTGGAAAAGTGGTATAATAGTGATTAGGGTGATGATCATGGCTTAAATTTGTTCAGCCTTTACCCTGCACTCAGTAAGTCGTTGAACTCTTTAAATACCCGGTAGGGTAGATCTTATTATCTCCTTTTCCCAGCTGAAGGAACTTAAAACTCAGGAGAGTAAAGTAACTTCCCCAAGGTCATGTTGCTGTGGCCTGACTCCAGAACCCACACACATCATCCCCTTATGAGGCTGGCCAGTGTTTTGTCATCAGCATGCCCTGATGACCCAATGGGGTCTGGCCAGACCCCTCTGAAGATAGGCTCCTGCCTATCTGATGCTCTCTCTGGACCCCTGCTCCTTTTCTCTCCTATCTTAATCATTTATAAATAAGGGATTATTACACTATGATATTTTTCTTCTTTGAACAAATGTGGATGTTGGCCCCAAATTTCCTGCTTACTTTCTCCTAACACAATATGCCCTGGCCAATCTGGATATTTGTCAGTGAGATGTGGAATGAAAGGCTGACACTGGTTTCCTTTACATCCAAAGCTGGCACCTACAAATCTTTCGGAGACTCATTTGACAGCTCACTGTCATAAACATGTTTTCTTTTATGTAAATAGAACTAATGATACAGTTTAAATTTCTTTATGCTTTGCTGGAAGTGAGATAGAGTGCTGAGCAAAAATTATTTGTAAAGCATATTAAAGGGGAGCAGCATCATGATAAATATAAACATCATTATGCATGGAATTGGCCAAAGCTAGTTTCAAAGCTCAGCTCCACTACTTGCTGTGTGCCCTTTAGCAAGCCACCTGACCTCTCTGAGACTTGGTTTTCTAATTTTTAAGAGGAAGTAAACTCATCTACCAGCAGAGTTATTGAACAAGCTGCAGAAATGTGAAAAGATTTATGTGCTTAATGAACTTAAAAAAATAAGTCTCATCTTTCCTAAGCAGTTAACTTGGAAGCATGATGTATCCACCAAATGCACAAAAGAAATTTATTTGGAGGACTTGTTTACCTTTTTAAAGCACACGTTGTTTTTGCACACATGTTTGAGCATGCTCTATTCTTATAATGAGTGCAGGAGAAATCCTGAATCACACACAAAGCATACTTTTAAGAAAAACTGACAGACATTAACATTTCACAGGCATCCATCCCTGGATGCATGAATATTGCATTAAAAAAATCTACTGGCATTACACTTTGTGGCATATTGTTGGAAGTGAATAATTTATCTGGTGCAACTGCTTGAGGAAATATTTCTCCATATCTGCAAGTGGATTCTTCTTTCTCATTTCTCAATAGATATATTGCATAGGTAAAATGAATTTTATAATGCTCTTAAATGTTTTTCAGTAAGAGATGAATTTCAGAGTCTCACATTTAATCAATAATTTTCTACTTGACAGCAGAATAAGAGAGCATTCCAACCAGTTTGCTCAACAGCCTCAGAAAACAGCAGGTAAAGGTCACTGTCCAATGTGCTGAAAACTACTAGGGCTTTTGAAATAAGTGGCCCTGCTTTGTTTTCTAATATAAAATCCAAATTTAAAAATACTTTGCAGTATTTATCTATTTATTTTTTTTATAGTTTAATGTATTTTAATAGCAAACTTACAGGAACAGCACAGAAGACAGACAACATTAAAAACATGTACTTGCATGTAGGACAACTCAGTTAGAAAAGTACAGCGAATGGATGGATCTACTGTATGATAAAAATGCTACAAACACCATTTAGTTGCCGTCAATAAGAAATTTACTTGTTTTAAAAAAATCCAAATGCTGGCATTGTCCAGAAAAATTTAACAGGTTTATTTATAATTGTTATAAAGTTGAGCTGCTGAAACGTGTTCACTGAAACATTTTGACTTGCATTAATGCTTTATGTCCCCGCATTTATATTAAAAATTCACACACAAATGACAATGGAAAACCTGCCAATACCTGATTTCTGTCCCCTATTTTTCCACTTGCAATCATATACTTAGGTACCTTTTGACCCCATGGAAAAAAAATATCTAACGTTCAGAACTACCAATAACAGGAAGAAGAGAAATTTCTTTTTTTTTTTTTAAAAATGAAATGTTTTCCATCATAGTGGATTCTTAAGCACGTTCTCCACGTATGTGGCGCGCTAGCTGGATGTCTTTTGGCATAATTGTGACACGTTTGGCATGGATAGCACACAGGTTGGTGTTTTCAAAGAGGCCCACCAGATAGGCCTCGCTTGCCTCCTGCAAAGCACCAATAGCCGCGCTCTGGAAGCGCAGATCTGTTTTGAAGTCCTGAGCAATTTCTCGCACCAGACGCTGGAAAGGAATTTTGCGGATCAGAAGTTCGGTGGACTTCTGATAACGTCTAATTTCACGGAGTGCCACAGTACCAGGCCTGTAACGATGAGGTTTCTTCACCCCTCCAGTAGAGGGCGCACTCTTGCGAGCGGCTTTTGTAGCCAGTTGCTTCCTCGGTGCTTTACCACCGGTCGATTTGCGGGCAGTCTGCTTTGTACGAGCCATGGTACAGAAACTCCCTTACTTACCCCCCTTCTCCTTGGGCTGGAGCTCGGCGAGCTAGAGGCGGCGCTGGCGTTGGCGAGCGACGGCGGCGCGGCGGCGGCTGCGAACCAATACTTTGCAGTATTTAAAGTAATTTTTGTGGCTTGTAGGATAACATCTGTCAAATACTGGTTTGATACCTGAAAGAATAGTAATAATCCTGAAATTATTTGATTTTATGTTCTTTATTACGACAATAAATAAGAATTTCTCCTGCTGCAAAGATAAGTGGATTTGTATAATTTTATTAAGTGTAAATTATGACTAATTTAATAATTTTCTATATTCATTTATTAGGAAGCAGCACTTGGGGTTTGTGGGTTTTCATCTGCACAAAACTCTGACTATATTTCTTTTAAGGCTGGTATTTGGATGCTTAAAGCTTTAAAAGAAAAACTGAACCACATAATTGAAGGTTAAACTAACTTTGATTCACTATATTGGATTTTATTTAAAACTACAAAATCATAATAATGAAGTTAATTTATACTCATAAGATACCCAAATATGAATTACTAAGAAATTTGGGGTTGAAATTTAACATGTTGTATTAAGACTATATATTAGCTTTTATTTAGTTATTTTGTTTTATCCATAAGTTTTCCTATGCTCATATTATTTTAAAAGGAGTCATTACAGAATCATAAATACAGAGAGCAAACCGGTGGTTGCCAGAGAGGAGGACGATGGGGGGAATGGGTGAAATAGGTGAAGGGGATTAAGAGGAACAGACTTCTAGTTATAAAATAAATAAGTCATGGGGGTAAAAAGTACAGTATAGGGCATATACTCAATAACATTGTAATTATTTTCTATGGTGATAGATGGTAGCTACCCTTACCATGATAAGCATAGGGTAATGTATAGAATTGCTAACACTATGTTGTACCTCTGAAACTAATATAGCCTTGTATGTCAATTATATTTCAATCTTTAAAAAAGGAATAAGTATAGGGAGATCAAGTGAGATAGACAGAGCTCCACCACCTGCTTTCTACAGAGGCCAGGACAGGTCCCAGGAAGATGTCAGTTGGTTGAGTATGTGCTTTAACTTCTTGAGTCTGGAGAATTTGGAAGCCAAAAGAATGCCTTTTACTTTGAACATGAATGCATGGTTTGAATGGTAAAGTTACCTACAGGCTTTTTTTGAAAAATTATTTGGAAGCTCTCATTGTTATAACCCATCAACTATTATTATAGGTTGCTCTTCTTATTGTTCTCATGACCTAGCTTTTCATACGAAGCCTTAGCTTATCTGCATTCTCTTTCTTACCTTAGTTTTTGCCCCCTCCTCTATTCCTTTTGCGGATCACATTTAGTTCATGGCACACTGTCATAATTGGTCCTTGCAAAGATGTCCTGTGTTTTGTGATCTAGTTATTGTCATTCTTTCCTCACCTCCATCCCATTTACCTCCACTCAGAGGCATCCACTCCAACATGTTTGAGGAGTGCACCTACATATATTCTTAAAATATAGTCATAATTTTTTAAAAAAAGATTTTATTCGTTTATTTAGAGAGCACTAATGGGAGAGGCAGAGGGAGAGAGAGAATCTCAAGCAGACTCCCTGCTGAGTACAGAGCCTGACACAGGGCTTGATCTCACGACCCTGAGATTCATGACCTGAGCCAAAACCAAGAGTCAGCCACTTAACCAACGGAGCCATCCAGACGCCCCTCATTATTTTATTTTTTATGTATTTTATACACATAGATGGCACTGCACCATAGTTTTGTTCTGTTTCTTCCTTTATTGTTTGATGCTATTTTTAAAGATCTACCCGTACTAATAATGTATATGTGCTAATGTGTATATACATATATGTTTATATGTATTTCAGTGTTTCTGACTTTATAAAGAAGTCAATTTTCTCCAAATTAACTTCCCAATACAATCTAATTGTAAGAAAATCCTCCCTTTATATATAATGTTGCAATCTCATACATGAATATGGTAAATCTCTCTGTTTATAATATATAATATAAAAGTGTTATTTGGCAGAGTTTTAGATTTTCTCCATAATGGTCTAATACACTTATTTTTAGAATAACTCCTTGATACTTGTTAGATTTTATTGCTATTGTGTACATTATCTTATTTCATATTATGTTTTCTTGTTAGTTACTGCTGATAAGGAGAAATGTTATTTATTTTAGTATGTTGATCTTTTATTACCTAGCAACCTTGGATTATTAAATCTATATGAATAATCTACATGAGAGATCACATCATTCATCAGTAATGCTCATTATGCCTTGTTACTTCCAATGTTTTCTGTTTCTCTCTTGCTTCATTCTTTGCCTAATTCCTTTGGTGAGGACCTAATACTATGTTGTACAGTTGTGGTAAAAGTGTGTATTATTTTCTTGATCTTAAAGTGAATGCATATAAAGTTTTCTCATTAAACATGTTGTTTCCTGTAGGTTTTTGGTAATGTATTTATCTGTAGTCATAAAAACTTATTTAGAGTGCTTTCTTTTTCACTAAATTCTGAGAATCTTCAATTTCCATTTTTATATTTTTAAAGATTGTATTTATTTATTAGAGAGAAAGAGGGAGAGTGGGAGGACGAGCAGAGGGAGAGGGACAAGCAGACTCCACACTGAACACAGAGCTTGATGCGGGGCTCGATCCTACCACCCTGAGATCATGACCTGAGCTGAAATCAAGAGTCAGATGCTTAACTGACTGAGCCACCCAGGTGGCCCTCCATTTTTATTTTATCTTTATCCCAGACAGAATATTTCTTATTTTTCAGGTATATGATGTTGATTTCTAATTTTATTGCTTTGAGGTCAGAGACCAATATGTATGAAGCTTCTGTTGTGGCCTGGTACATTGTAAATTTTTGCAGACATTTCATATGTATCAACACACTTCTATATAGAAACTTTGTTAGTTCTTCTGTGAAATGACTTTGTGTTTGCCTATCTTTTTCTGAGAAGAAAGTATTAAAATCTCTAGCTTCTCTCCATAGTTTTAGCAATGTTGCTTCATATATTTTGATATGGAATTATTTAGAGCACTGTGTTCATGACTATTATAATTTCTTGATCTGGTGCTTCTTCCACCAGTATATGTCATGTCTTTATCCTTATGATAATTTTTACCTTAAATTTTATCTAGTCTGATATTAAGGTGTTCCTGTGAATTTCTTTTGATTCATATTGTTTCATTCCTTTATTTTCAACTGATAAAGCTTCCTTCCTTGACCAAACTTCTGCCAGCCTCCTTTTAACCCTCAAAAGTACACCTTGACCTTGGCCTGCTAGTCTTTGTAAATATAACCTCTTGGGGCCCCTGGGTGGCTCAGTCGTTAAGCGTCTGCCTTCGGTTCAGTTCATGATCCCAGGGTCCTGGGGTCGAGCCCCGCATCGGGCTCCCTGCTCTGCGGGAAGCCTGCTTCTCCCTCTCACACTCCGTCTGCTTGTGTTCCCTCTCTCACTGTGTCTCTCTCTGTCAAATAAATAAATAAAATCTTTTAAAAAAATAAGTAAATATGACCTCTTGAATTGAGTGTTTCTGTTACAAGATCTGAGGGCAGTCTTGGAAGTGACATTTGGCCTCACTGAACTTGAAGCTCCTCATTTGCAAAATGAGATAATATGAGTATGTATTTTATAATGGATGTGAAAAGAAACTAATGAAATAGTGTGTGAGACATGTGATATTCTTGATGTGCTCATGGACAAGAGAGTCGTCACGGAGCTGCCCCCTCTATAGCTCTAAAATTTTTGATAAAATTCTTTTACAAAAGGATCGGAAGGAAAGGGGAGAGTAGGTGATGTTTTCTTCTGTTTCACAAGGTCAGGGAATTTGCTGTGATTTTTAAAAAACCACAGGGGCGCCTGGCTGGCTCAGTCAGTGGAGCACATGACTCTCGATCTCAGGGTTGTGAGTTCAAGCCTATGTGGAGCCTACTTAAAAAAAAAACAAAAAAACCATAGATAGTTTTTCATGCTGTGGACAGTTAATGACTTCTATATAGCAGCTTCTTTTTATGAAGTGGGACTTAAGGATTGGCATGTGATTCCTAGCTTGAAATCAAGCTTGTGCTCTTTGCCAAGCACCTGCTATGCAGGCTCCCAAGGCTAGATAGGATGGATGTTGTTTGCTGCAAGTTCACACCTGTCATTTTCAGGCATGTGGCTGCTTTCATACCACACATTACTTTTTGCCCATTTTTTTCCTTTCCAAAGTGAAAAAAATGCAAATCTGGTCACTAATTTGTTTTCTGTTAAGACATAGTGGTCACTTTGACTCAGTGAGGCATCTGTTTCTTGGGCATCTGTGTTGGCTAAACAGCATGCCCTATTCAGCTCTTGGAGGTGGGGGAGAAGGCAGCAAGCTGGAAGGGTGCTCCTGCAAGTGTTGTGGGAGGGGAACCCCTACAAGGAGTTTTGGCCATGCCATCCTGATGCCCCACCACAGAGTAGTACCTCAACAAACATTTGTTGTACCCTGTTGACTTGACGTGTATGGTTAGCCTCTCATTTCCAAAGAAGTAGGGCTAACTTTGCTCTGCCTTGACATTTTCCAAACTGAATATTAAAAAGAACAAGAACAAAAGCAACATCAGAGCCAGGGAACCCCCTCAGGAAGACCCAGATCACCTATGGTTCCTCCTCTCCCTTGGAGCAGAGCAGATAGTGGCTCCACTTGCCAGGTTTAGGCTAGAAGAGGCAGATCTGAGAGTGGACCCACACCGTGCATTTTTAAAATGTTAAGGCCTTTGAAGACATCCATATATATGAGAAAAGCACAAAGACACTTTGCTGGCACAGAATGAAAGCAGCGATCATCCCAAGTTGCTTCACATCCTACTTTTGGAAAGCACTCAGCTTTTGTAGCTGTCCATTTATATTAACATGAGGACTAATTCTCAAGCGAAATGCTTGTACAATGACCCCAAGAGAGATCACTGGAATAGATTTAAGTGGGATGAATGTGCTTATCAGCTCAGAAACAGCAGGCCAGAAAAAATATTTTATTTGTTTTCCTCCACATTATAGCATGTTTAAATATATCAAACCTAGATTATGACCTCGAGGACCCACCAAGTTTCCCCCTCCT